CCGTCAGATATTCAGCCAACTTAAGCTTCTTCCTCGGAAGCCACACGGCTTCGAGGAGAAGTTCAAACCCAAGGTCGAAGATGAGAGTGCCGACCATCATGATGGGGATAAAGCCAATGATCTTTGGGCCAATCACCATGACGCAAAAGGTCAAGGCTGCTAGCATGACGCCAGCAAGTCTGCTGTCTCCGCCAGACCGCATGAAAAATACGGTGTTGGCGTAGACAAGATAGTTTTGAATACTTCCGCACAGGCCAGATATGAAGTTGGAGTAGCCGTGCAACTTCAGCTCGCGGTCGAGATCCGCATTGTCCTCCCCAGTCTGCAAGGCCAGGGCCGGGACATTGATGGGGACGTGGAGGATGCCGAAGAAGGTGAGTGCCAACATTGCAGGGATGCACTCCAGTACCGCATCCCACTCGACCATGTTGAATTCTAGAATCAGGCATCAGTAAAGGGTTGAACATGTAAGTCAAGGTCGGCTTACTGTATAACGTATAGAAGTACCACCACGGCTCGTCGGCTGGTGGTCCTTCAAAAATCCAGCCATGATCTCGGAGAGAATCAGGCTCAAGCGCATCCAGGGAGAACACAAAGAAATAAAAGACTATCGGAATGGTGATGATGTACAGCGGCAAGAAGTACTTGGAAGCACCTCTTGTCTGACTGTAGAAAAGGACAATGGCCAGCAGAAGGGGTGTTAGCCAGAGAGCTATGGTGTCGGACTGGAAGAGCTTGTGGAGGGTGTCCATATCGTATTCCAGACTGCCATCCATCCGGGCAGAGACTTCAAATCCCGTGGCTACCAAAAACCAGCCGACACCTCCAATGCAGCCGATCAAGATGTGCCTCGGGATGAAGCCAACCATGTAGCCGAAGTTAAATTTGCCCATGAGATAGAATACTGCGCCTGTCATCATGGAACTAATCGCATATGTGACAATCGTCGTTGCGATCACGGCGTCTGGTTGATCTTCGCCAATATGGTCCGTAATTGTTTGGGCCATGTTATGGAAAAAGGGTACGACCTCGATCTGTGGGAAAGTCAGCAAGGGCTCTATTACACGATCTAGAAGAACTCACCAATTCGGAGCCGACACCTCCCTTGAAAATACTGCCAGTTGAGAAGGTCAACTGAGAAACGATGGTGCTAACATAGAAAATGGAGATGCCGGCGGAACCCAGCCCAGCGAAGATGGGCTTGCCGAGGGGGAAAAGAATCATGCCTAGGTTGTCCAGTCAGAACGCATGATCTCATTCAGCAGATATTGAAAAAGCGGCATACCGTAGGATAGGGCATCAAGAACATTGAGCAGCAATCCGACAATGACAGCCGGTAAGCAAGATACTGGGGCCACCACTGCATTCTGCCATAAAGCTTGGCGGTCCCAAGCTTTGGGACTTGTCGCAATTTGGTATCCATGCACGATGCGCTCCTCCACGTTCACGGTGAGATCTTTCAGACCTCCCAACCACCGCTTCCTAGGTCGCTGCTTCTGTCCTTCCACGTCGATTTCGGTGCTGGCTCCGCTCGTGTTGTAGCTATCGAGACTATCCGACGATAGCCTGGGGATCAGGGGAGTACGCTCGGTAGGTTCCCTCACAGCAGGCCTCGTCGGTCGCTGCACCTCTCGTTCCTGTCTCTCCACCGAAAGCGCTCGCTTCGGTTCGGGGCTTGATGGATCCAATGGCTCTGGCTGGGGTTCGGGCGACGGGTCTCGGTGCGACTGGGGAGGTGACTTCTTGAGTAGGTTCGTCAAGATAGAAGGGCCGTCCTCTGGTATTTCCTCCTCATTTCCATCCGGCGAAGAAGGTTCCGATACCTCTTGTATCGTCTCGGAGCTCGTAACATGTGCAATTGCGTCCTCCTCGTCCTCCTCGTTGTCCGAAATAGCGGTTTCTCGTGCGAGAGCTGACGACTGGGAGCGTTGGCGCGAGAGGAAAGCCGGGCTCTGGCCCGACTTCTTGTCGGATAGTAGATACGAGGCGAGTTCGGCCGTATCCTCGCGCACGCTGCGGGCGAATTGGGCGCTATCGGCGGGGGCTACAGATAGCATGTTAACTGGTTGTGCGTCCTAGGTGACGTATACGCCGACCATGGGGTGCTTGCCTAGGTGGTCCCTCACGTTGCCGTGGATGAAGGAACGAATCGGCTCTCGGTGACTGGAGCTCACGGAAGACGACAAGAGAGTTCTTGAATCGGGGGCGTTCTGGGAGTTCCGGCCAGGACTGAGGAGCGGGTTGTCCGGGTTGATCTCTGCGCTGTTCCTCTGGGACCTCTGGGAGCTCAAGGAAGCGGCTCTTCTCCTCCATGGAGAGAAGCCGGCAAAGTTGGGAGAAGACATGGCCAAGGGAGCAAGCTGGCTATGCTATGTGAATGGGTAGGTTAACAGTTGGTGGCAGAGCACCGAGGATGACCGTTGCACCTTCTTGGAGGCGCCAATTGTCAGGGTGCCAGGCCGGTGGTGCGGCTGTTATTGCAAGTTTTACGTCGTAGAAAACATGGGAAGCTGAGCTGGGGGGTGCGCGAGAGGAGAGAAATGTGTGGTGGGTGTCGGCGCAGATAAGAGATGGGAAAGCGCAGTAGGAGATAGCAGACGGACGGGGCCAGATCTACGGGCAAAGCCAGGATGGCCCGTGTAAGTCGTTCTGGTTTCTGGGTCGTGAGCGGAAAGGCCTAAAAGGCTAATAAAGCCAAAGAAGGGTAGGATGGAGAAAGATGGAAGAGCACGAACCTGGGAATAGGCAGTGTACCAAGTGGGTGGACGGGCTGGTTTAGAGCAGACGGGACGGAGATGGAAAGCGTGGAGACCGTGGAGAGGGTGAGCCACCTGAGGTAAGTTGAAGGTAACTTGAATGTGAAAAAGTACGGAGTAAAAGGTATGGTAGGAGGTCAAGACTCAGGAGCCAAGAGGTTGTCGTCAACATGGCATGGCATGGCCTGGGCGCGCGCAACGCAACAGCATGCAGCACGTAGCACGCAGAATTGGACGAACGACAAACCTTGATCCAGGTCAAATTTGCATTTTGCATGTGGCCCCTCGCCCCTCAGTAGCGTGCCTCCTACGGCATGCTACCACTTTTACTGCATGGTTAGCACGTTGGATACGCAAGTATTCGTACGAACACTGGACCCAATGGAAGTACCTTACCTACCTGAGGTGGTTGCTGATGTACCTACCTATCTGCTAGGCCAAGGAAAGCTGTTCCTGAGGTGCTTGTCCCTCTCCTTACGGCAAGCTAGCGCAAATCCTCGTGGTATCTGGTGCGGGCATTTCGCAACCCATCGCAAGTCCGGATTGCCGTACCACCAAACTCCGTAAGATACCTCCTAGTTAGAGCAAGTTGGTAGAGGAATTTGGTGCTGCTCGACGGAAGTGCCCACGGGTGGGTGCCGATGGCGCTCAAGTTGCACTACGTAACGCCGCGAATGATCCCTGCTGCACCTACAGGGCGGCGACCCCTCCAGTGAGCCACTTACAGCCGCTGCAAGGCAAATGGAATGGCGAAATGGGTACGGAGTACGTACAAATGGAAGTATCCCGTACAATATGTAAATGGTTGGACTGGAAGCACGGCAGACCAAACTGGGTACCGGTAGCCCACCCTCTCCAAAGTCGGCTCCCCCACTTCGGATCCAAGGATTCCAGTCGTCCTTTTTTTTCTCTTTCTCTTCGGCAGCCGGGGCCACTCTCTGCACACCCTCACTTCTTTCTGCCTCCATTGTGGATTGTGGTGTGGTGCGGTACCTACCTGGGTATCTGTACCGTACCTTACTCTCCATTTTTGCCTCCGCTCTCCACGACTCTCCTCCTACTGTGTAGAGCCCTCTCTCCAACAACAAGCCAAGCACCAGGCTCTGGACCGTGGGCCGTGGGCCGCAGACGGAATGGAACGGAGGGGCAGACGCCCGCACCGTTCGAGTGCTGCCTCCGCCTGTTGTATCAAGATTCAAGAGTGATCATATCCCAGCCCAAGCTCACGTCTGAAAGAACCAATGCAATGCATCCTCAAACTCTGCTTCCTTCACAACTCTCGCGTGGGGTAATACAGCTTGTCAATTGGAGAATCCGGCGTCAATTGCTCGTCATCGTCTCCCTTCAATGGCTCGACGTGTTCTGCAACGCTGCAAGACGAACTAATAAGCTAAGGTCACAATCAGCAGACTACCTTTTTGGCCTGTCGTCTCCTACTTCGGCCTACATCGGCCCTCCCCTGCTATGAGCCTATGAGGTAGCCACCTCATGTCCAAGACTAGGTACAGGTCGACAGTCGACCAACAGCGACCGTCATGAGGCGCATGATGCAATGCAGCGCACAAGGCCATGCCTGTGCTGTGCAACTGAGCTGTTTTGTCCACAACCGACTGGCTACCCATCTTGCGGCTCCAGCTCGTTAGATGGTGGCCCTGCTTTGTTACCGCCTCAAGAGACGTCAGAGGTCGTAGACATGTCTGAGGTTTCAATGCAGTCCGATCTTCCAATGTCGCTATCGCTTTTGCTATGCTCATCCGTCGCCGATATCGCGACATCTGATGTTCATTCCCCGCGCGCCACCACAATTGGTCCAAGCTGCCGCATAGGTAGGTACTGGCAGACTGGCTGTAATGAAGGTGACCCAAGAAGTCGAGGTGCACGTTTGGCCGCCACATGCGAGACATATTCCCCAATTCTCCCCTCATCGCTGACAGCCCAAAAGCAAGGAGCCCGTTACAGACTCAGTCAGCCCAGCAACCTAGATATGCCGCATGCCATCTTGGCCCCGGATTTCGTTATTTGAACCTCCATCAGACTCTTTTGCGGGCCTCATTGTGTCGTTGCTATGCGAGCCACTAAATTTTGCCCAGGGCGGCCGCATCGGAAGCCGTCCGCGATGCAGATCTTGGCCCCTATGTTGCTCTGGGCCAGGCTTCAAGTTCGCAACAACGTTACTCTGCATCTCCGATCCATTGCAAGAAAGAAGTCGCCTGTGTCGCTTGATCTCTTCTCGCGAGTCCGGTCACTCAGCCCCTTGAAACTGCATGTGTGCACTCCGCGTACCCCGCGAAGTGCCAGCGGAATATTCCTCACATGTCAAGTTGCTCTCATCATCTTTACGCACCGCGCCTTGTTATTTTGCCGACAATGGCGCCCTGCCTTGCTTCTGACGAGAACATTGAATCTCATGATCCGTGCAAGGGTCTTGTCAAGGCAGCCGTACATCCGTGACACTCAAGCTCCACAGATCTCCAAGAATGGGAGAAATGAAGACGCATTCCTCTTAGTATCGTTATCTCGAAACTCCGAGGTAAGCCAGCCAGATTAAGGGCGGTTATGGGCATCAGCTGAGTTTTTGGAGATAACCCTGTGCTATGAGCCGCTCCACGTCGCCCTGTCTGACATAGAACTGACTGTTCTTGGTCAAATTGATGGCGCTAGATCCCCGGCGTCAGACGCAATCCTTATCTGCGGCTCAAGAGGTTCAAACTCACCCGTATTCGGTCTGGATCTCTCCTGCATCCTTCAAGACTCTCACGTCGATGAAAAGGTCTCGCGGAGGCTCCAAGCTGCCCGTTAAATCGATATCCGTCCATTGCCCTTTGTAGGCAGCCAACAGATCGCCGTATTGCCTCACGTACTCCTCCTCTTGCGGACTCAGACTGCTCGTAGGACCCTCGGCGTTGCCATTGGGACCCCCTGTGGATGATCCTGCATTGCCTCGTACTTGTTGCCCAGCCAAATCAAGCACGTCTATTCCCTTCCATGCCAGCTCTTCCAATTTATCCGTCCGAGTTCGGTGGTATGCGAGAACGCATCGCTTGTTCCTGCGTATGGAGAGATAATTGACGAGGACTGTGCATGCTGTCGCTTGGTCGGCAGTTGGGTCGAAAGAGCCCTGGAAAGGCTCTAGAACCTCCGTCACATCCTTTTCAAGGTCTCTGACTTCACGCGTAACGGCGCGTACTATCTCGGCTTGGTACGCTGGCAAATGCGAAAGGTTTTGGGTTCGTTTAGCATGTTGTACCTGGCGAAACTGTTAGCTCTTTGCGACGACATGACAAAAAAGGCTGTTCCTGGGCCTAACTATACCAACTTATTGCCCAAATCGCCGTACATATTGACTGAGAAGGTGTCAGGCTGGGTAAACGAGAGTAGGCAGGTTGAGTTGCTGCGGCTGGCGCGTTGCGTGTCGACGTTCGCGTTGTAAGGCACGGTTCACAAGGTCTTCGAGTCGCGTTGCATTGGCTTACCCTTCTGGGAGGGCCCCCGATGGAAGCGAAGAATTGCCCCTCACTTAGCGCCGCCCCACTTTGATACACATTTCATTGCTGCCAGATTTTGACTGGAGGTAGGTACCTTGGGAGTCATCAAGGTCGGAAGGTGCCAATTCGACCCCTCATTCATGATGCACATTTGCAGATACAGAGAAACAAGAAATTTGGAACCAAGATGTTGTCTTCTTCAAAAGGTTTTCATAACCTCATTTGTATTCATAAAAGGCCTTAAGCCCGCACTCTTTGTGCGACAAAGGACGCTGCCTTTGTTGGTGCCAGAAACTATTGCGTTTCCTAAGCCATAACCTTTCTTGTGAGGATTCTATGGAATTTTTTTCATGTCTCCACTGTCATGCCTCGTGAAATCATCCCTCCCGATCATCATAAAGCTTCTTACAGCTTCTGCATAGCAGCAATGTCCACGGACTGGACGTAGTCCTCAAACTCGGCAATCTCCTCCTCAAGGTCAGACAAGCTGATCTTGTCATCCTCGATGACGAGGTTGATCTGGAGCTTCTTGATACCGAAACCGACGGGGACGAGCTTGGAAGCACCCCAAACGAGACCATCCTTCTCGATGCCGCGGACAGCAGCCTCGAGGGCAGCCATATCAGTCTCGTCATCTGCAATACAGTCAGCGTAATGTCCTTGGGTTCATGATTCAAGCGACAGTTCATACCCCAGGGCTTGACATCCATGGTCACGACAGACTTGGCAGCAAGCTTGGGCTTGTTGTCCTTCTTCTTCTTGTACTCGGCGAGGCGCTCCTCACGGATGCGAGCAGCCTCAGCGTCCTCCTCCTCGTCGTCGGAGCCGAACAGGTCGACATCCTCGTCATCCTCCTCGGCGGCGGGGGCCTTGGCGGGATTCACGGGGAGCTCAGTGGCCTCAGGGCCGTAGACGGAGTAGGACTTGGACGCATCACCGGGAAGGGTGGCGAAGTCGCTCTCGTAGGAGGCGATGTGCTTGTACCATCTGGCGGCGTGGGGGTACTTCTCGGCATCAGGGGCAGAGGTAAGAGCCTTGAAGGTAGCAACGTCGGCCTGGGAAGGGGTGGAGCTGTGCCGATTGTTAGCGGCAATGTCTTGCCCAAGTTTTATTTTGCGAGATCAAAGTGAAGGGGTAAGGCGGGGGTCAGAGTTGCACAAAGTGCTGGTTTTGTCGTCAAATAGCAGGTCTTGAGTCTGCCTCCGAAACACGGACCAATTTTCCTCATCATGTAATGCCAAAAGGGGAGTTGAAGAGTCGGAGAAGGATGCTCGGGAGCGGTGAAGAGGGAATTGCAAACTTACCCGACGATGTAGGAGCGGGTGGTGAGCCAGCTGTTCAGCACTGACACGATTGTCAGCCCGTGAAAGAAAGAAGAATCATCGCTGCAGAAACTTACTGGCAGCACCAGCATCAGTGAGAAGGTCGGCGAAGCCCATTTTTGCGTTTTGAAGAGTGTGTAGAGGGAAGGGAAAGGGGTATCTGTGGAAGAAGAAGCAGAAGGGGGATGTGTTGAGGTTCAGGTAGAAATAAGTAATAAGTGAAGGTGGGGTTGGGAAGGACCAGGTCGAAAATTTTGAGATTGCGGTGCTCTTCACTCAGGTTCCAGGCGGCACGGACCCCACCATCCTGGTTGCCCAGCGCCGGACCCCTCTTCGGAGTAAAGGACGGGCCGAGATAGCAGAGCCCCCTGCAGTGGATCCAATGGCGGGTGGGATGGATGGATCCGACGCCGCCAACCCACCTCAGGCGGTAGGCAGGGAGCTCCTACGCAATTGCAGTCGATAGCTCCAAACAGGACAAGCTTGACCTCACGCCAATCGCCCTTCTCCAAATCACCATACAAACGACTGCCAAATCCGGACTTCACGACAACACCCGCTATTAACTATCATACACAACCGAATTGAAGGCAAACCATGTCGTCGATTCTGCCGATAATCACCTTCAAGGCTGGTATCTGCGAGGCAGACGTCAGTGGTGCAGTTCCGCATTGCAGACCCCGGTTCGCTGACATTTATCATAGACCTCCAGCAAGCCTTACAAGATCAAGCCGCAGGCTACACCTGGCTACATCTACCTCTACTCCGAAGATGGTCCGTATGGTTTCTACCGTTATCTTTGTAAATGCCTAACAAGTAACAGACTTGATCCACTTCTGCTGGCGAGAGCGCACCGCCACCATGGAGAACCCCGATCTCGACCTCGTCATGGTGCCCATGGACGGTGAATTCGTCGCTCACGCTGCCGCCGATCAACCCTCAGCGAAGACCAACGGTCGCGTCTTCGTCCTCAAGTTCGGTTCTTCCTCCCAGAGACACTTCTTCTGGCTTCAATCCAAGCCTCAGTCGCGCAACGGAGACCCTAGCTGGTTCAGTCCGCGCGACAAGAAGATTGGTGAAATTGTCAATGCGCTTCTTCAGGGCGAGGAGGTCAACGTGAGCCGCGAGCTGGCACAAGTCCGCAACACCGACGACAGGCGGGACGACGACGACGACGAAACGATGGAAGATGCTGAGGGCCAGGGAGACCGGCACGAACAGTCTCAGGGAGGCAGCGGCGGCGCTGGTGCTGGCGCCACAGGAGGCGATATCAGAGAAGAAGGCGAGAATGCCAGAGAAGGTGGAGGTGATGGAGCACGAGCGTAGGTTACTTCCTCATGCATGGCTGTAGTGGTTGGAGTCCAGGGTCGTTAGAGTTACGCGGGTTCACATGGGCACTGGCGAGGAAAAGGACGGCCCGTCTTATGGCGTCACCTGTACTTTTAGAGCCTTTCAAAAGACAAGAGGGTTCGGAGTTTTGGCTTTTCAGCGCAGTGCCCATGGCTTGACTCTTCCACTATATGTTCTTGTGCTAATCGGTCCATAGCGCCGCTGGCGGCTCGAACACTGACGCAGATGCTGCCGTTCGGAACTTCCTGGCGTCATTACAAGGCAATGCTAGCTCGAGTGGATCACAGCAAAGCGGGCAGCAGCAACACGCAGACAAGCCTTTCCCGTACCTCAGCCACCTTCTCCCGAACGAGATCACCATTCCGATGCTTCGATCGGCGTCGGAGGAGTTCATCGACAGCCTCCTGAGCTTTCTGCCTCCCGCAATCGTCGTACTTGCCACGGAGGCAGACGACTTGGGTGATTCTGAGCCCACGGCGGACGCTGCTGCTGCTGCCACAGCCACTTTGAGCCTTGCAGAGAAGAAGAGCCTGCTGGAGAGAGTCCTTAGAAGTCCTCAGTTCCACCAGGCACTTGGAAGCCTGACTATGGCACTGCGTGATGGTGGTCTTCCCACGATTGCGGAGGCTCTTAGCGTCAAGGTGCCTAATGGTGGTTATATGAGGGGTGGTGCTATGCCCTTGGGCGGCGGCGAAGCGGTCGAGGCCTTTGTCGAGGGTGTCAAATCAACCGTCAAGGAGAAGAAGCAGGGTTAGTCCAGGCCCATAGGGCACATACGGCCTTGAAGTTGAAACGATAGAGATCGACACGACAGACTGCCTGATATTCAGGTTCTTGTCTGGCATCTAGCAATGATATCGATGCATCTTGTGGAGGCTCTTTACCGTGTGCTTCAGATCGAATACAAGATCTTCGGGATAGAACTGACAAGAAGACATCCCGTAAATATCCTGAGCTAACGTAGAGTGTGTGTTCGACTTATTAGAGGGTAGCTGAACAGCTGCTCAACAGAAATCAAGGCTCTACAAAGACGGAAGAAAAACATTCAACATGACTGTCAGAAGCTATCAAATGCTAATTTCCCCTCGCTTGTAGTATTGAAAGTCTTTCTCCTCGGGCCATCTATGCATATAAGGTTGTTGGTATTTTGCAGGTAGTTCATCCTGAGCACCTCTCCTCTGGGTGTATTGGAGAACGACCTGGGAGTTTAGAGTACTAGGTACGTACCGAAGAACGAGGGATAACGGGACCCCACATTGACCCCAGTCCCTGCGCCGTTGGCCCACTAACGTCACTGGAGAATGCGATCGGAATTCGTGCAGAGGTTCAAGCCAGAAGCTGCAGTCCAATTTTCAAACACTTCGAGCATTATCCCAGGTCTTCAGAGCCTTCTAAAGTTCATACTTCGCGGGATTTCAGTTCTAGACGCCGCCAGCATCCTTTCTCACAATGGCGGACCAACTCAAGGACCCCTTGCCGACCTTCGTCGAGGACTTTGGCAGCGACGAACGCATCTCCTTCTCCAAGCTCGACAACAAATACCTGGCCGTCCTCGACGACGGTACCGAGCTCGAGTTCGACCCGGCAACATCCACGTGGGCCGAGGCCGCCGATGAACCCATAGAACCACTCGACGACGAAGACGAGACCGCGGCGCAACTAGCAGACCTCTCGAGAGCCGGCGCAGGCCCGAGTTATAGCAATGGAGGCAGCAACAATCCCAGGAAACGGAAGGACTCGCCCACCTCAGCAGATGCGGGCGGCGGCGGCGGCGGCGCGGACAGACAACAGAGCGGCGACGGCAGTGGAAACGGAAACGACAACGGCAACGGTAGGGCACGTCCCGCGAAGAAGGCCAAGCCGGCGCGCGCACCGCCGCCGCCGCGCCAGAACACAGCCGTCTACGTCACGGGTCTCCCCGCCGATGCGACGGTGGACGAGGTCCACGACCTGTTCTCGCGGAAAGCCGGTGTGATTGCCGAGGAAATTGACAGCGGTCGGCCGCGCATCAAGATGTACACGGACGAGGCCGGCAACTTCAAGGGTGACGCGCTCGTCGTCTTCTTCAAGCCGCAGAGCGTCGAGATGGCCATTATGCTGCTGGACGACACAGAGTTCCGCTTCGAGCCGGGCCCGGCTGGGCAACCCAAGATGAAGGTCCAGGCTGCCGACTCGAGCTACAAGAAGACAAAGTACGATGAGGACACGAATGGCGCGGAAGGGGCCAAAGCAGGGGAGGGAGCAGGAGGTGCGGCGGCGGCGGCGGCGGCGCGGCCGCAGCGGAGCACCAACAACGGAGACAAGCAAAAAATCATCCGCAAGACGCAAAAGATGGCGGCGAAGCTGGCGGACTGGAGTGACGACGACGTGGCGGCGGTACCTGTAGAGAGCACCTCGAAGCGGAACCGGACGGTGATCCTGCGGCACATGTTCACGCTGGCGGAGCTGGAGGAGGACCCGGCGGCGCTGGTGGAGATCAAGGAGGACATTCGCGACGAGTGCGGGAAGCTGGGCAAGGTCACCAACGTGGTGCTCTACGACGAGGAGCCGGACGGCGTCGTGGCGGTCAAGTTTTCGGACACGCAGGCCGCGCAGGCGTGTATCCAGCTCATGCACGGGCGGGCGTTTGACGGAAGGATCGTGGAGGCGGGGATAGCGAAGCCTAGGGAGAAGTTCAAGATGTCCAGGGGACAGGTCAGCGATAGCGACTAGTTAGTCTGTTTTCCCTACCCCTTGGAGACGTTGATTCCCAGATTGAGAGGCTTGTATGTATAGAATTGTATTACTGGAGACCGCAAGGACGGGTAGTGCCGAAAGAAGTGTCTTTGAAGGCAGAATACCACATCATCTTCGGGCACCTTGTGAACGTACCGAGTGACACTCATAGACCGCTCGTTCCTCTCATTTTTCATGTTGAAATGCAATACAGGGGCGAACATCATCTGAGATGGTGTTCAGATCGATGCAGGAAGCTATAGGCATCAGAGTTTCCAGTGTTGGGAAGTAGGGGGGTAGAGGACCTAGAATAGGGTGATTTTTGGCATTATTGGCTTGATGGTACTCGGACGTCTACAATTCGCATGTTGGACATTCTGCATATCGTCGAATAGACACGTACATCACCAGTAGACATAACATCATTGAGTCCAGTTATTTTTTGGTTCATCTACTTGTTTCTGATCTATCAAGACTCCTCCAACTCCAGGCCAAATTTCAATTTCGTGCCAATCATAAGAACCACCCCTGAATTTTGATTGCCTGTTTGCGTGCGTGTGTGTGTGTATGTCTCTTTCATAAGCACGTTCAACGGCGAGTAGGGTAAAACCCGCTCAAGTCTTTCTCTCGTTATAGAGGAAAGGATTCTCAAGCGGCCCTTTCGACTTGGATGTCTGTTCTCTCGGAAACGACGTACCATATAGCCGCCTCAATGATCTTGCACACGATCCTTAACTCGTGGTCATCTGCAAGGTACAGTCAGCACTAGTGAAAATCGATATTGGGCCAGACCTGATTATCTCTCTCCCTCTCTCCCCCCCCTTCTCACGAATATGTATTTCTTGCTCCGGTCTTCGTGATGGCTCTCTGCTGGAACCAGAAGAAGAAAAAGAGTGAACTGTGTGACATCTAGCCGTCACCCCGCCGCCGCCATTGGAAAGCAAGCAGCGTAATTGTTTTCTTTTAACCCAAAAAAGGAACTGTGTGTGTGAAGAACGTACCTCGCGGAGCATATACCATGACGAACTCTTCCGGCACAGGCATCCTCACCAACTTCCCCTTCCACGCTAATGGATGCCGCTGGCCCCAGCCCTTGGCCAGCACCTCTCGAATGTCTTCGGGGTGGAGGTTCATGTGCAAGCTGTGGTCCGAGTCGTGGACGTGGCAGACCTCGCCGTTGCACGTGACGTTGACGGGGTGCCGCGCAAAGAGCCCCAGGCCGTGCTTCTCGAGACAGGACCGCGCGGTACCGAAGCGTGCCGGGTTCGCGGACGCGAGCTTCTGCAGCGTCTTGCGGAGGGCGTGGTAGTGCGGTTCTGTGCCGTGCTGGTCCAGCTGTCTCTGCGGCGCGATGCCGGCGACCTGGGGTCGGGGACCGGGGCGGTATGGAAGGCGGGTGAGGTCTCCTTCCTGGCGGAGGATGCCTCGCTTCGGGAGGATGTTCGGCTTCGCCTCGGGCGCCGTGAAGGGGTCTCGGAGGGCCCAGAGCCGCAGCCAGGCTATCCGGACGTAGCCCTGGAAGGTAGCCGGCGTGCCGCCCGGTCCGAGGCCGAGGAAGTTGTGGTAGTCGTTCCGTACGAGGAGTAGGATGGGAACGATGACGAGGAGGGTCTCGGCGATCCTGGGTTCGAAGAAGTGGATGATGAGGGCCAGAGTCATGGACAAGGTGAAGATGGCGGGGCCGTTGAGAGTGACAGAAATGGCTTCCTGCTTGAGGACGCAGCTCACCGAGTCCTGATCCAGGTCCAGGCCCACGCCGCAGGCATTGGGGGAGGTAATTGGCTCTTCATGGAGGAGGGTTGAGGCCGACGATGTGGTGATAGCGACGGACATGGCTTGGCTTTTCTTGTTCTTACGAGATGTTGATACGCATGGGCACTAATATGCACAGCCGCCAGCCAGGCTCGAAGAGGGATGGGATGGAAATGAACTTCAAGCGGGCGGATTCTCAACAATATGGAGGAGACGGAGCACGGTATAAGTAGTTGAAGCAAAAAGAAGAAGAGAGGAAAAAGATACGCGAGGGAAAGTGAATGCAAAGTAAGGGTATGTGGTCAATAGTGACCTGACACACGAACGAGTGACCACGAGGTTCGACTAGCCACCGGGGGGTCTTGTCGCAAGTCAGACTACCTTATGCGGGGTCATAAAAGCTGGGCGTTGAGGTGACTGTTGATCAAGTGACGGTGTTTGACAAAAGCGTTAAATCTGAGTGGCCAGTTTTAGGTGAAGGGAAGTCTGAACCACAAGCCGCTCATAGCCTTTGGCCTGCAACTCTGTACACTAGGCTCGTGCGAGGTAGAGATAGGCAAAGTTCCCGCCTCGGCGACCAAGCTAGGGCAAAGCCAGTGCCGTGTACCGTGGCCCTGTATGCATCAGGCCTCCTGTCCACCGACTTTCTGAGGCAAGCAAGAAGCCGTTTTAATGCAGCCCTCAGTCAACGCTGGACCCCTGCCGTGGAAGTGGTTACTCCGCACGCTGGAGCGGTGCACTTGTAGACCAATTTTGAGGTATGAACTGCTCGGGATATACGGAACCTTCATAAGAGGTTGATGGGGATTTTACAGCACTCCCAGGCTATGGTGTTGAGTTGAGGTTCCAAGGTTCCACCGCCTGTTCGGGACAATGTTACCCAGGCCGCCGGTGACGGAGGGCGTCCTGGGGCCCCCGGGACGGTGAGAGGTCAGGAGGATGTGCTTGAGTTTGAAAGGAGCCGCCGGAGCACTTTGGGACCAACGGATGCTTGTCTCCACCGTGAGGGGCGCACTTGTACAACTCGACGGCGGCGGGTCAGCCGAATTCCTTCCGAATATGTCTTCATTGGCTGGCTGCAGAGTGACAACGCTCGTGAAGATGTTGAAGAGACGGTTAGACATCTGATGTTCGTTGATCCTCAGCTCGTATTCTCAGGTGAAGGTGGTGCACTGCCTCGAAAATGTTGACAGCGAATGAGCACAACTGTTCAAGAGGCTCCGAATATAAACCGTCTATCTAATCGCCAAAGGCGCCTCTAGCAACGAGTACCAAAAAAAATCTCCTAGGTTGCATGGGTTGGCATTCACAACAGTGCGGGAGTCTCGCCGAGGAAGCTCAGAACAAAGTTGCGTTTTGCTGTCAGGGAGACCACGTCTCTGGAGACTCGAACCCACCACCGGGGAAGTAGACCGTCCGTGGCTGCAGAGTTTACGCATGTACGAATGCAAAAGCATCGAGCTGTGTGCTGTCTCCCTCTCGCGTCTTCTCGCCTCAAAGACTCAGCGACTGACAAGTTGATCGGGCGTGAGAAGACGGCACTGCACATGCACCGGCATGAACTTGGGAAGAATGTGACTTGCCGCTGTCATGAAGTGTTCTGAGACCGGGAAACTATTCTTGTCGGGCGCGGGCCGTGTTAGGTGAGACGGGACGCGTCAAGGTCTTGCCATCGGAAAGGTCCAATCTAAGCGTCGCGGCGCCTTTGGCGATTAGATAGACGGGTTTGCGGAGCTTGGGAGTTGGTTGGGTTGGGCTAAATGCGTGTACGCATACCGACCATCCATCCGTACCTCGCAGCCACGAGCTCAGGAGATAGCGTTGATCAGGGATGAACATAAGGTATGGATAGGGGGGTTGCATTGGCAGCGTGACTTACTCTGTACGAATACAGAGCGACCGTACCATCATACTCCGTACTGGACGTTATTACCTTAGTGCTACCACACAACCACAGTATGAGTACGGGGATGCGCTGCAACGACTTCCGCCCTCAGCCACATGCATGACAAGATGAAAACTGGGTATGCAAATCGATATTCGCCTACTAAATCTCGGCGTGTTCTAAATTTGTTCTGCTGGAATCTAGAAGGCCAACGAGACACGACTGACGGATTGGCGGACCGGTATGGCATCTCATTGCGATAATCTCCTTTGTCGCACTGGCACACTACGTCGGTGCTTTGGGTCATGTCTGAAATGAGATGATGAGTCGCGGTCCGTAGGGATAGACGCTCTTTCGCCGGTGCTCTTGGTCGAAATTCGAATCCATCCTTCCTCACCAGTGACCAAACAGCTTGGCAGCATGACGTCGATTTTTGGAGACTTGAGAGGAGACACTGCGGGGTGCATGGATGGATCAGGATTCAGACTCGAGATTGAAGCTGGCTGAAGAAATGCCTCCCTCGAGTCGGACCGGTAGTTGTACCCTCTCCCGGAATAATGGAGAGACCATGTCTCATGGAAGTTGGAACGGCCAAGAGTGTTGGGGCAGGACTCAGGGCTCAGGAGAGGTTGAGACGAAACAGAGGAGCGCGTCCGAACTTGTTGCAGCTTCGTCCAGTCTCATTGTGTAGGTCAGATGAGAGTTGCGACAAGACAGGAAACGATTCCATGTGTGGCGCGGGCGGTGATTGATTCATTCATCGGCTGCAGTTGCAAATTGCAGACAATCCCACCTGTGGGCTGAAGCGAAGTGCGAATTGCGATTGGGGGCCGGCGAGTGCCCCCCCTACATTGCTACCTAGTCAGTTAACTTGGAACCCAGTATGAATAAGCAGCATCGGTGCCAGTCATCTTCTTTCATCGTGATATGATGGATCAAAGACCAAAGACGGACAAGACTCGAGAGAGGAGTGCCTAGACAGTGTCAGGATCCCTTCATTTTGAATTTCAAGCGTCTTGGATTTGCTGGATTGCAGGAGGACGGGAAGTGGAACGCACCTTCAATCAAGGAGCCGAACCGTAGCGGGCAACAAGTCCCGGAGTTGGTTAAAATGGTTGTCAGGGAGACCCCAGTCAAGCTTTTAGCGAGGAAGTCGAGACCAAGGCGACAACCCTTGCTTTGCTCCTGCAAGTTCTGAGAGACCCGCATTGGCGCGCACTTACTTGTAGGATCCAGTCGTGGGCCAAGGAAGAAAAAGCAGGAGAGGGCAGGCGCGCATCTTGCATCTCGTTCGTCGCTGCTTTGGGCCAAGCTCCGGTGCGGCGCTGCGGCCCTTGAGCCTTTCTGGGTCAACATCCAATAGGTAAAAAAGGAAAGCAAAAAAAAAAAGTCTGGCACCGACAGGACGGGGGGCAAGGCAAGGCTGCGCTGCAAGCTGGAGGGGAGTGGAGTGTTCATAATTCTGCCATAAGATACCGCCTGCGCACCCTCGTTGCTCAGAGCAACATGTAGTTGGCCAGT